ATTAGAAAAAAAAGAATACGGCAAAAAAAAAAAAAAAAAAAAAAAGCAGCAATTCAGAAGCTTAGAGCTAAGACTTTTCCAAGAGGAAGCCTTTTGGAAAGAAAGATGAGCCCAAAGTTCCTGCCTCACCCTGGCGACTTGGCTGCTGTTACTTATTTTATACAGACTGGGCCTGGCTCCTGCTTGGATGGGCATCCATACAGAAGGCCCTGTAGCAGACTGGGGAGAAAGACCAAAAAATCAAAAGTTGAGGAGTATCTTTTTACTTTGTTGCTGTAATTTTGTCAGTCTGAAGACTTTGTGTCAGTGTCTTTATCCCAGTTCACTGGAGATTCTTTCCTAGTATGTGTTATTTCATTGTCAGTGGAAAAAAACATAATTTGGTTTTCTCCCTCTCTTTTTGAATAGTTGGTCAGAAAGGCAGCTATAACTTTGAGCTGCATATATGAAACAGAAAAGGGGTTACTTGCAAACCTGCTTCTGAAGATCGGTAATGAGTTTTCTTTGCTGGAAGCCAAGAGCAGAGACTCACAGGTGGAAGAAAAGGTCAACAACCTCACATTTATTTGCTTTCTCGTACTTTTGAGTGTGAGCATTCTTCTTGAAACACATGGATACCATTTAAATTTATCCCTAACTTAAATGTAATCCTCTTTGCTTCACCCATTGTTTTGGACTACGTCTGATAGATGAGGTGCTCTGTTATCACTGTGCACCTTGGGGGCTGTGATTAGAAAGAGGCTGAGAACAGAAAAGAAGCAGTAGGAAGTGAGTTTTCCAAGTAAGGTGAGCAAAGTTCTGTCCTCTTGTTGTATGGGCCTAATTTATATCCGTTTGTACTTTATTTAGCTGTACTCTCAACTTGGAACAAAAATAACCAGAATTACAGAATATGACTTCACATCTGCCCCATATAAAAGTAGTATAATTATGCGTGTGACTTCTTAATGTTGAGGATGAAAGAAAGCAGCATGCAGAATTTTTTCATTGCATCCTGTTTCAGTAAGCTAAATGTTGAGATGTTGAGAGGTGATGAGCTCCACGGACATGAGCCATGCAGAGGTCTGCCTTTGATTATAGGGGCATTGCTCTTCTAAGAAGAGAAAAGATCCTGATCAAGCAGTGGCTCATGCATGATAATTCAGGGGAGCAGAAAGCTGTTGAAATGCCCCAAGCCATTTATATCGGTGTGTACATAGAAGACCATAGAAAGATGGTATTTAGCTGTTTATATCTTAAATTGCATTGTTTTCATGCTGACAGAAGTCTCTTTGTGCCCTGAAGTATGACATTTTAATTGCTTTTAGCATGCCGGTATCAGCAGTGGATCAGGATTTGACAATACAAAGTGGAGGCAATCAGTAGACTTTTAATTTTAAAATTTTAATTTTAAAAGAACCAGAGTGGAGCAGTGCTGTGGAGGGGTGTGCAAGCTCTGAGACAAGAGCACCGCTGGTTAATGCTGGGACGGCCCTGAGGTTACCAGCCCCTTCCTTTGCTGTGGGTTGCGGTAGCTTGGTGCATTCCCCCAGCTTCCACTGGGATGTACTGAGGAAGCAGCAACACCTTCAGCTCTCCTGCAAAGGGGCAGCAGAGCTCTTGGGAAGACTCTTGGAGGCAGCCAAGGGCCATTCCTCCACTCCTCTCCCCTGACCACTGGCTCTGAGCCCAGCAAGCTTTTCACTGCGTTTCTCAGGGGCACTGTAGTGGTAGGATGGGGGGGGGGGGTAGTGGTTTTCAGCTGAAGGAGGGTAGATTTAGATTGGATATTAGGAGGAAGTTTTTCACTGTGAGGGTGGTGAGGCACTGGAACAGGTTGCCCAGAGAAGCTGTGGATGCCCCATCCCTGGAGGGGTTCAAGGCCAGGCTGGATGAGGCTTTGAGCAACCTGGGCTAGTGGAGGGTGTCCCTGCCCATGGCAGGGGGGTTGGAACTTGATGATCTTTAAGGTCCTTTCCAGCCCAAACCATTCTGTGATTCTGTGACCACGGGTGCTAGAGCAGCTATGAGGCTGCAGGAGGGTGGCACTGGAGCTGAGGCTGGTCACAGTGCCAGTTTCACAGGGTTGCTGTAAACTGCTTTGACACGTTAACGTTTTTCCCAGTTGATCAGGGCCTAATCCACCATTACTCTTCCTGCTAAGTGTCTTTCCTTGGTAAAAAACTGCTTTGACTGTGTAATTCTCTGAATGTCTTGAGCAGAAAATTCCACTTCTTTGTTAGATTTTTCCCAAATAAGCCCCATGCAGCTGGGACCCTAGACCTTTATCATATTTCAGGGTCAGGGTGTGTGTCTGTAAAGTAATACAATTGTTTTGGAACTTGGCAAAATTTTTCTGCTGCTCTAGAAAAACTTATCTTCTGTTTGTGTGGAGAAATCCTAGAGTGTCTGTCAGTTAAGATCACATTTATTATGTTTTTTCCAACTCTGACCCTATTAAGTTTCCTTCCTAAATCATTGCTTTGCTGGAATTTGTCTGTTGTCAGTCCTAGAACATTATACTGGAAATGAGCATCTCTTTGATCTCCAGAGGTCAATCTTACTCACAATAAGTTAAAAACCCTTTCTCTTTAATCTATTGAGCCATGCTCTCAAAATGAAAAATATTAGTGAGGTTTTTATCAGCTTTTGTGCTTAATTCCTGTGGAAAGTGTACGTAGCAGGTAGGGAAAAGGAAACAACCTGTTTGTTTAGGCACTCTGCCATCCTGTGCAGGTTTGTGGAAGGAGCTAATGAATGGGTGTGGTAATAACATTAAGCCAGCATCTGCCTATTTTACACTCTTTGACAGGCTTTAAAAGAGGAGAAGAGAAATTAAAATGAGTGTTAGATGCTGGGTACCTGCTTAGGAAGGTGCTGAAATCTGCCTCAAGGGACGTTGTCCTGTGTTTGTTTAAAAAAAATGCCATTTAGGAGACTTGTCAACCTACTGAAACACTGATCTGGATCATGTCAGAGCCTGGCTGCAACAAGGAGACCGAAGGGTTTTGTAATGGCTTTGTGCTGTGCAGACATCCTTGCCATACAAATTCAGGAGGGAAACACAGATGATGCTTTGTTGTTGTCGATGGGCCTCCCCAGGCTCTTCACAGGTGGCTGCTTTACCTTGCAGGCTCCCAGAGGCTTTCCAAACATTCAGCTCCTTGCGGGAGAGGTTCCCAGAGGTCTCTGGGTACTGTTACTGTGCGGACAGCCTGGGGAGAGAGTTGGCAGACACTGGTAAGTACCCACCAGCATCTGACGCTTTGACTTCAACTGCTTTGAATTCCCATGGGAAAGAACAAATAGTATCAGTCTTCGCCTTCATTTAGGACTTTAATTTCAGTCTTACAAGGCGTAAGACCACTGTGGCCAGTGGGAAAGACTGGAGCTCACTGGTGAAATCCCACCCTTAGGAGCAGCGCTTCAGTCAGCAGCAAGTGGAGTTGCTGCTCGGGAGCTCATCCCGTCCTTTCTGGGATTGTGGAATAGGGTTTCTGAATGCCCAGCCTCTGCACACACTAGAAATCTGTGTCATATTTCATAAGTCCAATTAGCAAATGCAGGGGAATATAAAGGGCCTGGAAACGAAGCTATTTTCTTCTTGCTCTGATAGAATCATGGAATGGTTTGGGTCAGAAGGGACCTTTAAAGATCATATACCTGTTAGGCATGTTAGAAGTTGATGGGACACTTTGGAAGAAAGAATGTTTTTTTCCAAGAAAGAGGAATGAGGAGATTGAGGACTTCCAGCTCCTCTTCCTTAGGTACCGTGGTTTTAAAAATTTAAAAATAAAAAAAATATGCGGGGAAAAATGCAAAGCATGATAGCTTAAAATTTAGATGGTGGATGAGAAATTCAGCATTTAATTCCCATGAGGGTGAGAAGTTCTCAAAAATTTTGTGCACTCAGGGAAGCTACTGCACATCTGGTGTTTTGCTTTTTTTTTTTTTTTTTTTTTTTTTTTTTTTTTTTTTTTGTGTACAACCACTATGTTTGGGAATTGGTTTTTGGTAACATCAATTTCCAAAATTTCATCAATTACTCTACTGCAGACTGAACCTAGCAAAAGCGCAGCACAGAGACAGTCACTGGATGTTCCTCCTGCTCATTTTGGTGGATGTCAAGGCATAAAGCTAACGACTGGGCACTTGGCAGTGGGTCGCATGTGTGGTGCATGAGGGTTATGCAGTATAGGTTAATTTGGCCTGTTCAGAGGACTGGTTTTCTTTTTCCGGGTAGGCTTCCAATTCTGCTGCTCTGGTGTAAAGCAAGTGACTTCAGTCTTAAAGCCAGGTTCTGTACTAAAATTCTCTCTTTGCCAGGCTTGGAACTGCTGCTCGATGAAGTTTACGACACAGTTTTCTCTGCCCTGGAGCCTGCCCGCACGTTTGCAGAGACCAGCATATATCGGATCCTGCAGAGGCGGTTTCTGGGGGTTCAGCTGGCTACCTCTGGGAAGTTCAGATGTAAGTAGCAGCCAGGTGATGCCCTGTAAATAAGGTGACAATTTTGGAGCTTATATATGGCACCTGACATCAGGGAGAGTTGTTCTAGAAGTCTCTTGCACTAAAAGCCCATCATATCACAGTTTCAGTACAAGAATCAAGGTCCCTGAATTACAGCTGGCTTTTAACCTCTGGGTTGTACATTCTTACCAGCAGATTGTACCTGGTCTCTGATCAACGCTTTCCCACGCACTTGAAGTTAACATTAGTTGAAATCCCATGAACTTTCCCTATCTCTTGCCCTGAGATTATGGAGATTGATCTAATGATTTATGAAATTAAAGGCCTGAGAAAATGCTCCCTGATTCATGATGGTACACTCAGAAGCAGGACAGATCTTACATTGGCCACAGCACACTCGATTCCCAGGAGGCTCCCCAACAGTTTGTAGCACCTTAGCCAGCCAGGCTGAACATCTGGCTCTGCCCTTGGGTCCATTCCTTCCCAGCTGGGGTAGGCAAATGGGGAGAGCATTTCCCTGCCTATGGGCAGTGAACTCTGCAGGACAGGGGTCGGGTACCTTCTCTGTCCTACACCAAATTTCAAGAGAATTGCCTTGGCTAGGGGCAGTCTGAACCTCCTGGTGTAGGAGGGGTTCATCCTCTCATCTGAATCCTTCTGACATTGCTGTCTGACTAAGGAGCTGCATCACTACAGATATTAATCAGATACTGATGTAAGTCTTCTGGCCGCATAGTCACATGGTTTTTCTATTTCTGGGACAAGCTGATCATTCTGGAGAGGCTGGAAAGCATTGTCCCACTCCTGCTGCACAGTGTTGTGCAATAAGCTCTGACTGTCGTGGGGATGCAGCGGCTGTCAGCACAGATGAAGCTATAACAGCCACAAGATGGAGATGTGACCACGTTTGTCAGCTGCAGAGGGGCACTGCTTTGGTGACAGCCAGATCTCTCACCGCCACCTGAAGCCATACATGTTAGGAAAGTTGTCAGATTTCCTTGATGAACAGGTAGTTCTGATGTGCTGCTCTTGCTGCCTCGACTGCTGGCTGAGTGTAGCTGGAAAGCTCATGAAGGTGAGAAATGTTTAGGCTGTAGGATTGCAGCTTTGTATAAACAAGCAAAATTTCTGTTGGAAAGGTGGAGTCTAGTATTGGAGACATCATAACTCAGAGGATTTGCTTTATGGAGTTTTGGCTTCTGTGCCATTAAAGGCAGTTTGACCGGAATAGGGTCTTCAGATCCCTGCCAAGGGAAATAAAGAAATTGGGTGGTCCCTGACCCAATCTCCACAGTCAGGTGCAGATCCTTTTGCAGGAGCAGATCCTTTTGCAGGAGCAATGCCTCACTCTCTTCAGAAACATTGATGTTTGTCTTCATCTCAATCTGCCAAGCTGCACATCTGTCTCTGTTGACCAGCTGTGGATTTGCATTAAGGACCAGAGCTCACCTAGCCTCCAGCACGGCTCCCAGAGAGAGGTGCTGCTACTCTGCCTACCCACGGCTAGGGCTAAAGAAGTGTTGAGGTTTTATTTTCTGTTTAGTTTTCAGGAATAAATATCTACAGTAGAAAACCCTGGGGCCAGTTCTCCAGGGGAAAAGAGGATGTGGAAAATTTGCATTTTGGGCTGGAACCTGAAGTTTCACTGAAAACAGTCAAATAAAACTTTTTTTAAAATTTTTTTTTGGTTTCCAAATAGGCAAACAATGGGATCAAGCAGTGATGGCTCTGAAACTTTAAGCTTTCCCTCCTTAACACATCCTGTTTTTCTTCTAGGCCCCTCAAAGTGTGAGGTTGAGCGGTACGCAGCCCAGCGTTACCAGCACACCTACGTGCCGTCTTGTGATGCTGATGGGAGCTACACGCCTGTGCAGTGTCAGCAGGGAGGACAGTGCTGGTGTGTGGATGCCAAAGGGCAAGAGGTCCAGGGCACAAAGAGACGAGGACAGCCCCCAGCCTGCGGTATGTATGAGGTTCAGAAAAGGAAAAACGAGCACATCTCTCTGTGTCTTTAGAGCAATCCAAAAGACGGGTTCCCTTCTTGGCTCTGACAGATTCTGGTGTTCAAAAACTGGGACCAAAAAACCTCCCTGGGGTTAAGAGCCACATTCTAATAAGTTAATAACGTATCTCTTTCATTTTCCTTTATAACCTTTCTTTAGCCTTTTAGCTTTTACACGTAGCAAGACTTTTCTTTACGGACATGATATCTGTCTCTTGACTCCAGCAGCTGGGACCTTAAGTCAAAATATCTGAGATAACGTAAGGAAGACAGTTGTACTGGGTGTGTCTGGGCTGGAGTCACCATCCCCCCAGCACCCTCCCAGTGCTGAGTGTCCCCCTGGCAGCCAGCAGGGGGTGTGTCACACAGCTTGGGAGGGGCGGAGCCGGGACAGCTGGCCCGGATTGGCTGTTCCATACCATGTGACCTCAGCTCAGCCATAACAGCCAAGGGCAGGCAGGAGGAGGGGGGCATTGGTTACTGTGTTTGTCTCCAGGAGCAGCTGCTGCACACACTGAAGCTCTGCTTTCCTGGGGAGTGGCTGGACATCACTTACTGAGGGGAAGTAGAGAATAACATCTCTGTTTAACTTTTGTGCATGGCCTTGGCCTTTGCTTTAATTAAACTGCTTTTATCTTGACCCACGAGTTTTTCATCTTATTCTCCCCCTTTATTTTGCTGAAGGGGGAGCGATAGAGGGGCCTGGTGGGCACCTGGCATCCAGCCAAGGTTAACCACCACAGCAGTGATGGTGGTTTTGGGCTTTACCTCCTTCCTTTGTTGAAATGCTATGGAATTTCTAAGGTATGTCTCATCCTCAGCATTTTTTCCCATTTCTGTAGCTGCATATTTGGCCATGAAAATTGCCAAATCCAGTAAAGAAACCCCAAACAATTTGGCAAAGATGTATGGGTTTTGGCTTTGAGAGATTTTGTTAAGAATACACCATCAAATTATTGCCCCAAATGGAAATGACAGCAGAAATGTCAAAGGGCTGGAGGGGAGGAGGAAAGTTAAAAACCTACGCTCCGAAGCACACTACCTAAATATTCAGGATTGCGCCGGAGGGCTAGGGGAGCACAAGGTCTTAACACGGGGGCCGCCTTTGGGGAAGGTAATTCCTCGGTCTGTGAGACACAGTCTTACCATGCAGATCGAGAAGGAGGAACCTACCCGGGGTGTCGCGGCTCCAAGTTGCTTGGAGTGCTCTGGGCACAGAGAGGCTTACTGCAAAATGAATATGTTAGCATGCCTCCGAGGCTGATCACCAAGGATATTGCAAGGGAATCTCTGAGAGGCCTTGCCATATGTTGGGACTGGTTGTTTTCTCCTTGAATGTGCTTTGCTGAGCCCTCCTGGTGATTTTTTTTTTTTTTTTTTTTTTTTGGTGGTGGGGCAGGGGGCAATGACTTGAGGGTGCTTGCAGCTTTTATTGGCAGACTCAGGAAATTTAAACAGGGAAAAATTCCTGCAGAAGTTTTGCAGACTGACTCATGCAAAGGTATTTCATGAGGATATCGCTGCAGTCTGTGTTCAGAGTCATGAGTGTTTCTCCAGTTCTGCTCTTTTTTATTTCTCTTTAATATCCTTGACTCTCACACTCAGCTGGAGGAGAAAGAGATGTAAGGTGTGGGCAGCTCATTGAGTGCTCTCATGACCTGGGACACCAGTCATTCCTGATAGAGACATGCTCTTTTTCAGACCTTCATAGTAAATTCACCCCAGCAGTACTTTTCTGTTTGTTCCTTCCCACTCTGCTTTGATTTGATCCAACAGTGGGTAGGAAGAGAGAGCGTTTAAAGCCCATGATCCTACATTTGTTTTGTATTAGCATACTTGTGGGATTGTGGCTTACACTAACTTATTGGTCCCTAGAGGAACGTTCTTCATCCCTCTTACCAAGAGTCAACACTGAAAACAGAAGGGGCCCATCCTACAGCAAAGGCCTTTACAAAGGGACCACTGTGAGGGATCCTGAGCTCCAGCCAGGAACTGCGGAGCAGGACAAGGATGCAAAAGGAGGAGTGAGAAAGATGCTGCTCACAGAGCCTCAAATTACGTGCTAATCTATTTTAGTGGCTTTTAAGTTTTCCAGCTTTTATCCTTACTGTTAAATAGGATTTCTGACTGCTTTATCATATTGCTTGAATGTGAAATAAATGAGGATGGGACGGGGAGCCCAAGGGAGGCCGTACTGGAGCAGACCAAAGCTGTTTGTCCACCATCCTGTCCGCTACCAGGACAGCAATGGTGCTTAGGGAGAAAGTGTGAGAAACATGGGAAATGCATATAGCTTCCATATATTCTCCCTGTTGCCTGTTTTAGGCTAGGGAGGCCCTGGTCTGGAGGCTGAACCCAGATCGTTGTGTTCAGCACTCCCCTATGGAATCATCTTCCAGGGATTTGCCTAATTGATCTTTAACCTTGTATCCTTCCTAGCATCCTCTGGCGATAAACTTCATTATCATAATTATGTGCTCTACTTCTGGACCATTCTAATTCCTGTACTGTGAGAAATACGGAATAATAATAGTCTATTGTGAATGATGTGGAGAATTCTGGTTTTTAAAAGCCTTTACAGTATTTTTTTGTTCAAGCTGAATAGACTCTGCTACTGGAAAAGCTGTTCTTTCCTCAAAATATTTTTGCATCCCATCTCTATAATTCCCCTGCTTTTCAAGGAAAGGTAACCATGTGGTGCATGATTCAAGCTGCTGTGTGCGTTCCAGAGATCCAGTCAGTGCCATAACCATCCTGTCTCTTTGGTTCTTGGTGTCGTTATGTATCCTAAGTCCTTCTTTTTTTGGTGTCTTTTGGGCCTTAAGATGACATTTCCAGAGGTCCTCCTTCAGGGATGTCTTGCGTTCTGACTTGGAGGCATTGCTGTCTGTATGAACTTACAAATGGGGCTGGGTGCAGACATACCTATGACAGCTTGGACCAGGATGTGGGTGGCCAAGGCCACTCTTGGTATCCTCAGTACCCTGATATTTGACTATTTTTGTTGAAATTTTGTATTTTTTCCCTTTAGAGCTCATTTGTGAGTGCCATCTGGTCCTTAGCACTCCATTACTGCTAATTTATAACAATTTGTTTTCAAACCTCTTGTAGTGACCACTTTACTATGAAACTGAAGATCTGGGTAGGAAGCCTCCATAAATTCCTCATTAGTGGCCATTGGTTAAAATAACTTTCTGTTTTGCTGCAGTTCATTTCTCTTAGGTTCACACATTGTGCCTGGATCATCGGAGGTTTTCATTAGAAGTAGGCATCCTACCAGAGAGTTAACATACTTGGAAAAGACTTCATTTGTTCTTTCAGCCATAGGAACAAGAATGAGGATTTACATTGGGAAACAATAGAACCAGAAAAAGACTACAGAGCAGACAACTCAGATGTGGTGAAGGAATGTTTCCTTTTACTTTGTGTCTTGACTGGTGAATTTTATTTATAGACCATATTCAACAAGAGTTCAAATTTCCCTGTGAATGTGGGTGATGTGAAGTTGAGGAGCTAGAGACAAGTTAAACTATACTTTTACGTGGTTTCTGCTGAGACTGCTTGAAAGATAGCCATAGAGTTACAGATTTTGGAAATTCCAAACTTTGCTTTTTTTTTTTTTTTTTTAATTTTTGTCTAGGTGAAGAACAAGCGTGCATCTCAGAGAGACGACGGGCCTTGTCGAGGATCTTTTATGGCCCTGCTGGATACTTCAGTCAGCCCGATTTGTTTTCCATGTCAGATGCACAGTCAAAAAAATTGTCTGGCTTCTCAAGACCCTGCCCTTCTTACTTCAAGGAGCTGTTTCTGGACTCTGGGTTGTCATCCCCAGTTGCACAAAGCCCATATGTCAGCCAGGTTCCTGGGCTAGAAATCACTCTTAGTGAAGCCATCGCAGGGATGTTTCCATCAAGGGAACTGGCTCAACTAGCACTGCAATTTACTGCCAATCCGAAGCGTTTCCAAGAAAACCTCTTTGGAGGAAAGTTCTTGGAGAATTTGATCCAGTTTAACTTCACAGGGACACTTGGCACTAGTGGGAAATACAGCATTGGCCAATTTTTCCCCCAGGAGGTTGTGGCAGACAGGGATAATGGCCAAGGCCTTCTGGAATCAGCTGAGGCATTTTCACTGGAGGTATCAAAGGGGAGCTCCATTTTGAGTAAACCTCTTGTAGGCAGCTTCGGCCGCACAGTAACTCTACAGGACAATCAGAATATGATGAAATTGCTTTCCTCTCTTCTGGAACTGCCGGAGTTCTTTACTTTTCTTCAACAAGTGATTTCTGTCCCCAAAAGTGTTGCTGAAGATTTAGGTGAAGTGGTGAAACTGGCACTGGGTTCCAAAGACTGTGGTGAGGAGCCAAGGGACCTGTTTGTTCCAACATGCACCAAAGAGGGGAGGTATGAGGAAGTTCAGTGCTATGCAGGAGAGTGCTGGTGTTTGGACACTTCAGGTAAGGAAGTTCCAGGCTCAAGAGTTCAAGGCAAACGTCCAAGGTGTCCCACTAATTGTGAGAAGCAAAGGAGAAACCTGCGAAACTTGAAGCAAAGCCTGCCTGCAGGATCGGATCTTTTTATTCCCTCTTGTACCAAGGATGGAAACTTCCTGCCACTCCAGTGTTATGGGACAAATTGCTTCTGTGTTGATTTGAATGGCAAGACTATTCCAGGAATACGGGGAGAAGCTGGAAAGACGATGCAATGTAAGTTCTAGAGACTGGGAATTTAAAGATGCTTCTTTATTGTGCTGGAATTTCATGACTCTTTCTTCATATCTGGTTATATCTGGAAATGTATGGATGATGTATACAAACAATATTGTCCCCTAACAGGAAAGCGACTCAGCCCTACAGTTGCAGGGGAATAGTGGGAAATACAGTGTGTGTAAACCTTGACATCCTAAGATGGTCCCCTCTTCTTTCAGGGGGTTGGGGCAGGGACACTCAGAACAGAGGAGCCTAAGGTCTAGCCTGGTGAATGAGCATGTCGTTGGCCATCTGTCTCTGCTTAAGTGTGTAGCCAGTGTGTATAACATCCATGATGCCCATGAGACCTGGAGCATCTGTGTAACAGAATGTGACCCATGCCAAGTGACAAAGCTCTTTTACTTCCAGGACTGAAACACCTGGGTACAGTCACTGGCTCATGCTTGTCCTGGGAACTTAAGAGCTTCAGTGCCTTAAACCATGAACCTCTTTTAGTCTTTTAGTCCTCAACTTGGTAGGATGTCACAGGAGTCCAAACAGAGGAGAGGGATTCAAAGGCTAATAGGTTTCTCATAAATGTCACGCAGTCAGGCCAGAAAAGTGTCACAAATGGCTTCTCAGACATCAATTTTGTGTTGCAACTTGCTTAGAGACTATGAAGTGCCTCTTCTACCCTTCTAGTAATGTATTACAGAAGAGGAAGGAAGCACATAGGCTAGGGATATTTGTCTTTCAAGCTTCTGTGTACTGAAAATGGCACATCAACAGGGAGAAGAGACCAAGAGAAGAGCCTGCTTCTCGTTTTGGAAGGAGTAGCAGAGTATCCAGCAGACAATAGCGGTACATAGTGAAGTAGTTCCTTTGAATAGCAGCTTGCAGAAGCAGTGGGGAATTTATTGCAGTGATCTGGATTGGTAAGGGATTTATATCTAGCAGCCCTGCTGTAGTGCAATCAAAAATAAACAGGTTCGTAATTCCCTGGTGCTCAAAAGGAGATGAGCTCCTATGTTCTGCTATGTTTGTAGAACTGCTTGGTGGCAAAATGAGATTTGGCTCTGGAGATATCAGAAGCGGCTTCCAAAACAAACTCACTCCAGCATTTTGAAGGGTAGTATTTTTATATTCAGCTGCAATATTTGCTAGAGAATAGGACGAGAACACAACAGAATTTGAAAATTCTGGTTAAGTCCAAGGGGAAATAAAATCAGTATTATCCTACTATTCAGATGGTTTCTTCTGCAGGGGTTGGCTGAATAAGAATTAACTGCTGGGTTATCAAGTGTATCTGGAAATACCTAGTTGGTGTGAAAAATTCAGGAAGGCGTTCAGTAGCATCAAGCACCTAACCCCCCCCCCCCCAGTAAGAACTACAGGCATCTGATGTGCTCAGATGTTTCTAAGCACTAAGAGCATTGGACCTCTTAGTAACAGGCCGGAAATGTTGTTGTTAGTACTGGGATAAGTGACCAAGTTTTAGTAATGTTGTTTATAGTACCAGGTGGGGGTAGGGGTTATTGTATATCTTCAGTGCATTCCTAAGATGTGCTACGTGTTTTTCTTTTCCCCAGGCCCCAGTGCTTGCCAAGTAGCAGCTGGTCAGGAGTTTCTAAAGGCTGTGAAACTCCTGCTGTTGGATCCTAGTGCTGTGTCCCAGCTCTCCAGCATTCATCTCCCGCAGTGTGATGCTGGGGGCGGCTGGAGGCAGGTGCAGTGCAGTGGTCCTCCCGAGCGAGCCTTTGAGTGGTACGAGAGGTGGATTGCTGAGAATAATGAAGGCAAACCTCTGCCCATCACTGATCTGTTGAGCATCATAACTGGATATAAAGAGGCATCTTCCAAAGGCTTTTCAGCCTTTATTAAAGCTTTGTATGATGCTGGGCACCAGAATGTCTTCCCAGTGTTCACCGCATATTCCTCCTTCACTGATCTCCCACCTGAAGTGCTGGAAGGAAACGTGACCTATGCATCTGAGAACATTTTACTGGATCCATATAGGTTCTGGCAGCTTCTGACTGAGCAGCTGACCTATTACCCAGGACCGTACACTGATTTCAGCGCTCCATTAAGCCACTTTGAACTTCGTGATTGTTGGTGTGTTGATAACAAAGGAGAAGAGCTGCAAGGAACAAAGGCAGAAGTGAACCAGGTCCCGACATGTAAGTCACAGGATTTCTGGCACATAAGTAACAGTGTTTCTGGTCTTTGCTTTCACGCCACAAGAGGAAAGTCCTTTCAAGTCCTGGGAGGTAGGAGACAATGACCTGGGGGAAAGATCATCAGTACTGCCATTGTTGCTGGCCACCAGAGGTGGGATAACTCATTTTTGGTAAATAAGTGGTCTCTCAGCTTTGAGAATTAGGAGGATTAAAGTTCCATGTCAAGTTTATGTAGATTTTATAATTTGGAATTTGGACATATAATGCTTTTGCAGAAGGTACTTAGCCAGACAGCAAAGGACACTTTGAAGTTAGAAACAGCATGTGAAGACTTGTATGGAAAATCCATAATTGCACGTGATATAACTGACTTTTAAGAACAACTTAAAATGAGGCAAGAGGAATTTTCTTCACTGTTTTTTGTGCAGTCAAGAGTACCAGGTATCCTCTAGAAGTCACTAGAAGAGTGAGGCCAGCACTGAAGTTTGGCAAACCCTCTGTCTAGACATCTCCACCAAAGCTGTTGGGCCCTCTTTGGGGTTGCTTTGGCAGATGACTTATGTTATAAATGTAGTCACTAAAACCATTCTCATGACAGTAACTTTCCAGCTGGAAGCAAGAGACAGAACAATAAATGGCAAACTTACAAACGGTCAAGGACTGTTGGAAATGCCAGTCCTGTGGGCAAATAGGGAACAAAGGGGATGATGCAGATTAGCTGAGAGAGGCTTTCACTGAGCTGGTCCAGTGTATTGAACTGCCACATCTGAGTTAGTAGATGTATGGAGAGGACAGTGCCAACTGCCACTCTGGACCCACACCTTACCCTTTCTTTCTCACTCTCTTTTCTGTTTATTGACTTTTTAATGGCAGTGAATGAGGAATAGTTCTGTAGAGACATTTTAACTCCATTTGTAACCAATGAGAAGGAGGTAACTTAAAATCACCAGGCCTTTGGCCCAAGACTTGGAGAATGTTTGGGTGATTCCTGGTACTCTTGGACTGTTGTGGTTATATAGCTAAGCCTTGATGAGTCTTGTTTGCTTCCTTCATTAAGCAATTCAAAAGTGCAGGAGGACACAGAAGATGCTAATTAAAAGACCAGCTGGTTTTAACATGTAAATCTTTACTGTATTTAGATGAAAGGCATTAAAATACCCTCTGGTTCTGCAGGTCCTGGTATATGTGAAGGTGTTAAGCAGCAAGCCATGAAATTTATGGAGGAGGCAGAGCAGCTCATCCTAGCATCAAATAGTTCCCACTTCCCTTTTGGAGAAAGCTTCTTGATGGCAAAAGGAATACAGCTCACAGACAACGACCTCCTGCGTTCTGCTCAGCCCTATGAGCTCGAGGTGGTGGTCTCCGAAAAGCTGTTATTTGGCGGTGACTATGCTCTCCAGCTGGCTGCACGGTCAGGTAGGTGAAAGAGAGATGAGAGCTTAATTAAATGGATTAATGGCCAAGATCTGTGCAAGAGTATTCTATGTCAAATTCAACTTTGCTGAAAAACAGGTGCAAATTGTCAAGTATCATTAATCAGCGTAATTAACCTGCCACCCCATGAGCTGATTTCGGTTGTCTTATATATGCATGGTCTCCTATGTATAAGATCTGGACATCTACCAGCCTTAATGTACATGCAGCGTTTGTTAATTTCCTTTCTAAAATGCAGGGAACAATCAAGTTTTTACAAATAGGCACATTTAAAATATCTCTTCTTAGACAGGACACTAATATCTTTCCTTTACTTATCTTTTGTAGTCTTGCATTTCTACTGGCTAAGTCATTTTACTTCCAAACGTTCTGCTGGAGAGGCAACACAGCTGGGATTTTTCCCTTACATCCCACAGTGTGATGGCCTGGGAAACTGGGAGCCAACTCAGTGCTATGAGAGCACAGGTGAGCAATTGATAACAAGATACTCTGGGCTGTCTGAACAAAGCCAAGCTAAGCAGAATTCTGATAAAAAGGTGGAAAATCTGTATTCTTGTAGCCAGACTGAAGAGAGGTGAAGGGGTCTACGAGATGGCTGAAAAAATTGACTGGAGTGAGAGACTCAAGTAGCAGCTCAATGGGGTTCAAAAATTGGTTAATGTTCAGTGGCTCACTGCTAGTAGTGTTCCTCAGAGGTCAGTTCAGGGCCTGTTATTGCTTAATGCCTTCATTAATGACCAGGACGATGAGCTGGAGTGCACTCTTAGCAAGTTTATGGATGATACCAAATTGCTGGGAGTAGATGATATGCTGAAGGATAGGGCTGCAATGGAAGAGATTCACCAGAGCTGCTACATTTCCATTCTTACCACTGCTCTTAGGTGTAGTCTAGTTATCTCTGAAGAGCAGAGTTAAATGGGACTTAGATTTACTCACCATTTTCTATAGTGCTGCTGAGGATAAAAATCTTCCCAATATGCACCAAAACGTGCTGAGGTCCACCATCTAAAATAAAGCTGCTTTTCTTCCTTGGCCAGGTCATTGCTGGTGTGTGGATGAGAGAGGACGTTATGTCATGGATTCCTTGGTCTCACGCTCAGCAGAACTTCCCAAATGTCAGTTGGTTTTTCTTCCTAAATATTTGTCGTTACCTGTTCTTACAAATTTTGATATTTGTTGAAAATTCTGGTATGATATGCATGAAGCAAGCCTTGTTTCTAACCGTTGCAAGAAATGAAAAAGGAATTTTATGCTTCTTTTGCTAATTCATTTAATTTCACTATGTTTGATTTTGGCTTGCGTGATTTGAGAACAGACCTTCTACTGTTGATGGCCCTGCTTGAGCAGGGGAGTTGGACCAGATGTTCAGCTAGATGTCTCCAGAGGTCCCCTCCAACCTCAACCATCCTGTGATTCTGTTGTTATCAAACACCGGTCAGGCATTCCCTGCCTGAGGCTGTAGCACAGTCTAATGGAGATGTGCGAAGGAGCCTGGGGGTCTACCCTCTTTCTCTAGCTTAGGTTTGAGAACTTGGTCTTATTTTAACATGCACGTATGTTTTGCCTTTCACAGGCCAGACGTCATGTCAGCGGTCTCGAGCCAATGCCTTAATTTCCAGCTGGAGATGGAGCGGTTTTATCTGGATGCCTCCACAGCAGATCTATTTGTCCCCTACTGCCTTGAGGTGATTTAACATAACTGAAGGAGGAAGAAACAAAACTTCCCTTGTTTTGCTTACACCATGCTAAAGGCCCACACAGTTTTAGTCTGTGCTCCTTAAGCATCTCTTGTGCATTCCTATTAACCTGAAAGAAAAGGGTAAAACAAAACAAACAGCAGGCGTTGCCCTCCCTAAGGTGAAATTTAAATAGTTTTGAGATGAAGACCGAGATGATTTTGAGCCGATGTCTACGCTGCCCTCCTACAGGGTGGCTCTGCCTACTCCTTTTGCAGGGCTGTGCTTGAAAGGCACAACTTAATTGACTGATATTTGGGGGATCTTTCTTCCTGAGCTGTGAGGGAGTGTCAGGATGAGAGGGAGTTGGATGCAGATATTGCAAAATAGGGTCTGTGATGCTCTCAAAATATGGCAGTGAGCAGGACAGAGCCTTGAGGTGGGCAAGGAACATTTAAAACCAAGATTATACCGGGACTTCGTCTCAATGGACTTTCAGTCTGCATACTGTTTCTCTCAGACCCTGGTTTGTGCATTAAATTACGTAGACTGTATCTTCATATTTTGTGTTTCTTTTCAATGTGTTATATTAATGGACAAATGTAAATATAATCAAATATTTTAACCAGCCTTTGGGGCATGAACTGTGGCATGTTTCTATTAATATACATTGGTCTACAATGACATGTATCTGATCCTTTACAGAGAGGAGAATACGCTGTGCTACAGAGATCCGACACAGATATTTGGTGTGTAGATCCTGTGTCAGGAGAAGTATTTCAGCGTGGCAGCAAAGATTCAGATGACAATCCTGAGTGTGAGTAAAGCTTTATTCTCAGCCTGTGATTCCAGCAGCAATGCCTCATGCTTTGCAGCATTTGTACTTTCCTTTTCAGAATGATGCCCATGAAATACAAGGGGTTTAGAGTTTATTTCCTCAGTGATACGGTGTGTACGAGCACTTCAACATTTAAAGGATATCTGAAAATAGTTATCCTTCTATCTTTGTTGGAGACATGGACAGTGGGATGGGGTGCACCCTCAGCAGATTTGCCGATGACACCAAGCTGTGTGGTGTGGTGGACACGCTGGAGGGAAGGGATGCCATCCAGAGGGACCTGGACAGGCTGGAGAGGTGGACCTGTGCAAACCTCATGAAGTTCAACAAGGCCAAGTGCAAGGTCCTGCACGTGGGTTGAGACAAGCCCAAGCACAAATACAGGCTGGGCGGAGAATGGATTGAGAGCAGCTCTGAGGAGAAGGACTTGGGAGTGCTGGTTGATGAGAACCTCAACATGACCCAGCAATGTGAGCTTGCAGCCCAGAAAGCCAACCCTATCCAGGTTGCCCAAAGAAGTTGTGGATGTCCTGTCCCTGGAGGTGTTCAAGGCCAGGCTGGATGAGGCTTTGAGCAACCTGGGCTAGTGGAGGGTGTCCCTGCCCATGGCAGGGGGGTTGGAACTAGATGATCTTTAAGGTCCCTTCCAACCCAAACCATTCTGATTCTATTCTATGATGATTACTCAGGAGAGGATAGTAAGTTAGACAGTACTTTCATATGACCCAGCAAGTCTGCTTTCTTTTTCTTATATATGGGCTAATGCTAGAAGTCCATGAAGACATGCAACAGGCCTGATGGGGAATAAGTAACTACACATTCACTGAGGAAGTATGTGTTGAATGGTTCATTACACAGGTTTGCAAGCTTACTTTGACACTTGCTGATGAACAAGATTAGTAAGAAACAACTTTGTCTCAAGTCTGGATTAAACTTTTTGGATCTTCTTGTCAGAGGATGGTTCCACATGCTCACGTCCCTAGTTTGTTTGTTTGTGGGAGACCATAAATATTGTTGTTCTGTGGTTGATTTTTTTTTCCTGTTTTGAAGGTATTAAAGTGGCACGTTTTGACTATTTTAAGATGTAAATAATTGAACTGTTACACTTAAAATAACCTTGCTCAGAAATTCTTATGAAAGAGATTAATTTGATTTTTTAGAATAAATTAAAATATCAGCATCTAAATGTTAAAGTGTCAATTTTTTGGACAAAAAGTTGTTAATGCAAAATGAATATCAGTATTTTTTCCAGTATTTTGTTGATGCAAATCCATATAACCTGCACTTTAATCTTTAGAAAAAATGTGTTTTTCTAGTGATAGTAGAATTCCACATTTCTGTAATGATTTAAATTATTTATGGTTTCACAATCACTCATCTTTCTTCCTTATAAAAGAACTGGCTGAAAGCACTGATTTTAAAGTCTTTAGGACTATTCTGTACATTAGTAGAGTTCATTTCTGGAGATAATAATTTTCCTGTCTTCTATTCTGTATCTTACAATAAATTTGTTTCTTTAAAGGTCCTAATTTCTGTAATATGCTGAAGTCTAAAACCAGTTTACGAGAAGTTGGCAAAGGCTACATCCCACAATGTGAAGGGGACAACGGGACTTTCTCCCCCATGCAGTGCAGCCAGGATCAGGAGAGCTGCTGGTGTGTCTTTGACAATGGAGAAGAGGTGCCAGGGACACGAGTAAGCAAAGGAACACCTGCATGTGCAAGTGAGTTCCTGCTTGAGGCGCGTTGCTTCTGAGCAAGACCAGCTCTGGAACTTGACCGAGATCCTAACTTTTTCCAATATTTAATTGTATTTAAGCTTCTTTGTTCAGACCTTTATAGAGACTTTTGCTCCAGCAGTATGCTTATCTTTGTTTTACAGCAGATTTCAGACCTACCTAGGCACGATGTCCAGTTTTCTTCAAGTGCTTTGTCAGGGAGAAAGGAGAAGGGAATGGATATTTGACTTTTCCTAATTCATAAAATTGGTTAAATCAACACAAGTGAACAATTAAACTTAGCTAAAATGTCAATCTGAACATCTTGCTGCAAACTTGAACCTGTTCCACTGTGAGCTGGCACTGGGATTAAAAGCCATTCAACTGACTAAAATAAAATTTGAAAAATGTATGCTTCTGCCATTCCTACTCTTGGCTTGTGACCAGAGTTGTGAAAAGGATGTGCCAAAACACTGCATATTCACAGAGTATCTCCTGCACGACCAGAGCTGCGAAGCACTGGAATTCTCTCATGGTTTCCAGTGAGATGTCCAAATGGGAGACATTTGGATAAATTTAATTTGCAATGGCCTTTATACATCTCACCATCACTGAAGTGAAGCAAAACAAATTAAACTTTCTGCAATGCTCCAAAGTGTAGTGGTTAGTGGAAACTAGAGATGTAAAAAAAAAAAACCCTTAAAGTAGTGCCTGCAGGACACTACTGTTTCCACGTTTTTTTTTTTTTTTTTTTTTTTTTTTTTGTAAATGAGACCTGTTGGTAGATTTAGAAAATGAGACCATATGATAAGAAATTGCTTTGGTTTCCTTTTGTGATTCTACTATATAAAGAGCAACACATGCTCATTAGCAAATACCTGATTGCTCTACTGACTGTACGGCATTTTAATGAACTAGATAGCTCCTCATCCAACTTGGAAACCACCACCACCACCATCATTTTCTTTGAACTCTCTTGTGCCAATGGAGAACTGTGTGGATGGGGTTTTAGGAGAAGCCACAAGAAGACCCCAGGGTTCTATCTGCCCCATGCAGCTTGGTGTTGTGTGGAGATACCCAAATGAGATCTGAAGAGTTGAGCTCCACAGCCAGGGCAGTGTAGTCATGGGAGCGTAGGAGCCCAGTACAGCTTTCTAGATCTTCAGAGAAGCAGAGATGATCAATCTAACAAGTACAGGGCTGCTGCCATCCTGCTTTCAGGTTATGGGCTAGTATCTCTGTGGGACAAATTTATTTTGTTTGGAACAGCTGGGGGAACTTAATGCAACACCCATCACTCAGCAGTACAGATTAACTTTCTGATCAACTTTGAAGGTGAACAGGGAAAAGTGGAAGTGTTTCTATTAGTCCAGAGAAAAGCCAGAGCTATTTTTAAATGTTAAATCTTTGATATCTCTTTACCTTCATGAAAGCTCGTTTTCTAGATTTTCCTCTACATTTCAAGGGATTTTTATGAAATATGTTCTAAGGAGGATGTAGATGTACCCCAAGATATGCCCCTAAGATGATTTTACATTTCGCGTGCACATCTGATGTTTCCTGTAATGCTGTATTTTTCCTAGAGGAAATAGTGACTGAATGATTGATGATCTTTCTTTTTTAAAAGACTGAGCTGAGAGAGAGAACTGCTTTGCAAATATAGTGGAAACCTGGCTTTACTGAAAGCTATTTGTTATTTTCTGCATAGAAATACCATTGAAATAATCTTTAATAATTTTCCTGGATTTTGAAATAGCAATGGAACTTTTTAATGCTAAACAGCTTAGTTATTGTGTAAGAATAAAGAAGCAAAAAGTTATTTTTCCTTTAGTGTATCCAAACTTATACTTCTAGTCCTGGGAACTACCAATAATTGTTCAGGAAAAAGGCAAGGGAGTACTATCTTACTATCTTGGAGATCTTGTGTGTCAGCAAAAGAAGCTGTTGTGGTTGAAAAATATGATAAACTTCTCCTCCAACATCAGAATAGACAGCTGTAAACAGCAAGTAATAACTTCACAGTGCCCAGTGCATACAATAAGGTTTTCGTTAGCTTAATAATTTCCATCAGAGTTAGAATTCAACTTTTTCTAGTTGATATGCATCAGAGAGATGATGCCGAGTGTCCTAGCAGTCCTCACACACATTTCCCATCCTCCTGCCCACTTTCCACAGATCTGAGTGGGGAAAGAGGAGAGAAAGCCTTCCAGAGAAGGTCCTGGAGACAATGATTTCCTTATGGAAATCTTCAGAAACATCTATGAAAAGAGTGTCAATGTTCAACTGAATTCTGATTCACTCCTACAGGACCAAGAAATTGGGGCAGAATAATGACAAAATGGTGCAGGCTTGATAATGACAGTAAATGAGATGACATCTGTAGAGGGATAAACAAGTAAATTGCTGATTATGAACTGATACCTGTGAACCACACCAGGAAACCACCTTTCACCTGTGTTCTGGGGACTGGTTATTTCCTTAGTCCACACAGCAACCCTCCTTGGAAAAGTCAGTAAAAAAACTGTAGCAGCATACTACTGAGACTGGATTTGACTTGCTGGATATAGAAATGTGTTAGAGCAGTAAAGAGACCACAGAATGATTCTTATATACTTTATATTAAGAGGTATTAATATAATTTACACAAAAGGGTGGATGTAGTTTACATGGGTCAGGATAAGTATTACTGTCTCTTTTACAGTGATATTTTTTGGTCCTAAAACCTCAGGAGGGTTATTAAAAGTTTGTTAAACAAGGATGCCAGGTTTCCACCTTTACTGAAGAAGAGACTGGATACAGAGTCAATGAGTGAAGAGGAGGAATGTAGTGGCCCCATTTGCAGAGTTATTCCAGAAAAGATGCTATAAAGGAGACTTAAAAAAACGCATTTGGCAATTCAGAGAGAAAGATATGAAAACTTTTCATTTGTCATTGTAATGTTCAGGCTTGGAAAACACATACTGTGCACACTGGATCCCAGATTCATCCTGCATTGTTTTAAGCTTTAACTGAAATGGCTGCTAAGCTCAGGAATTAATCTCTGTATCTCCATTGGAAAGGGAGAGTGAGAGAGTGAGACTGCTCAGACCTGAACCATCAAAAATGTTTGCCGTCCTCTGGTGACTAGGGAGGTTGGGACTGATCTGAGCATTGATATTTGGAAAATCATCTATACATATACCAAGCAAGTAAATTGTATGATATGAGAACAACTTTTTCTTTATATTTGTTTCTGAGTGAGTAAGTTGTTTTTTCTTCCAGTGTTTTGTAGCTCTAGAACTCATAAATGTTTCATTATTGCTAGATATATTCAGTAATTAGGTTGGGATTTGGCTAATATTAAGTGAAGCAGTTGGTTTGTACTGATTAGTAGAAATTAATTATCATTGTAGTTAGCCTGCTGTAATAGTCTCCTACAGTGGGCTAACAGGGTTGAAATGACTGTATTGATGCCGAGCGAGTTGATAGGGTAAACTTTGTGCTCCAGCTCCAAAGCTGTATACTGCAGTTAAGGACCTACCGGGTCACCAGAAGCATCCTGCTGCTGTTGAAGATTCTGTAGTCATGAGCTCCTGATCTTAAAGTTCTCAAACTTCGCTCTGAAAGGATTTGAGATTTTTTTTTTTTCACCCTTCCTATTTCCACTGGCTGTCTTTTGCAAAGGTTTGTTCTGCTGATGGTTAGAAACCCTCTTCTCATTTCCTGCTTAAATTTATTCATGGCTTTTTTTAAACTTATCTGTTCTTAGAAACTATGCATGTGGCTTCCTGGACCCAATGCATTACCCATCAAAGTCAATATGTGTCTTTCCATTAGCTTTAGTAAACTGAACTGTGCTGACATCAAAACAGATCCAAGTTGAGATGAGTGGGAAATACGGAGCGTTCTAGGTCTAGGTTTTTCTCTGTTGATACAAGGGTTATGCAGACTTTTTACTAGAAGTGCTTCATAGCATGCCCCTAACATATCCCCTTTCTCATGTGCCTAAAGGTCCGCAGTGTGTTCTGCCATTTGATGCCTCATCTGTTCTCAATGGAGCTGTATTTTGTGAAAACGTTTCTGGGCAAGCGTCAAGCGTTCAGCAGTGCCGGCTGGTGTGTCGCCAGGGCTTCCACAGTGCCTCTTCCAGCACGTCATTCCAGTGTGATGTGCAACAGCGTCAATGGGTCTCGACTGCTCCACTCTACCACGCCTGCCAGAGTACGTCTGAACTGCTGTGGGCTGGGAGGGGTGCAAAGCAATGAGAATAGGTGTACAAAAATCCGCTTTCATCACGAAGGTACCATCTGAATGACAATAGTCGGACATGACAGTTATATGGGCGTTGCTAAATTAAGGTTCAGTAGATCAGTCCTGTCTTCTGCCGTCTTCATCTCTGTCTCTTGGCTGGCTCTTATGGCAGAAACAGTCCCGCTTTTCTGTAATAATAGAGCTATAAATAGTTAATCAATCTATATGCAGATTTTTCTTTGTTAGTTAAAAGATGCTGGCACCATGAAGGGATTCTGATGGAACCACTTAGTCCTAGAAGAACAGATGAGCACCAGATGTTTGAACTTGGCAGAACTTGACTATTTATTTGCATAATCAAATCACTGTGACTTCTGCATCTTTTTGCAGCAGTCTGTTCTTTAGGATTATTGTTGTCTTTGTTGGCTGCCGTGTGGTATTTTTCAAATAATTTTTCTTTAAAGAAAAAAAAGGCATTTTGAATCCTGGAAGAATGGATTGTCTATTCAGAGCTCATGTAATTGGATATTAATGTTGGCCTTTTCAATTATTTCAAATAGAGATACATTCTGATCAAAACAGCAATTTGTTGCAGTGCTGAACTTTGAGAAAAGCAGATCATGGTGCCAAGTTTGCTGCTACGCTTCATCTCCAAAATAGGTTAAACTCATTCTGGAAAGTGCTGTATTGACACATTCCCAGTTTTATCCCAGGTCTTCTATTCCAAATTTAAATTATTTTAAACTTTATATTTCAGACTGAAACTTTTGTCTGTCTGTTGTCATGTTTGCTGGGGTTTTGTAGCATGTTATGCAGTAACTTTCACGTTTGCCTGATGGCAGTGGGATAACTGTTTGTAAGGACAGAGGGGTGTGTATGGTGATCTGATACAAGCTGCTGTTTAAGGCAAGCTAAGGACTTCTTCCAGTAATCTGTGTTTGAAATAGAGCATGGTTTTAAGGAGACAGAAAAAAATCCCAACACATCAGAAGGCGATTGAATAAACTTCATGACAATGGAGAATTCACCACAACACTTAGTAATTTGTTCCAAGGGATGGTTACCCACACTCTTAAAAATCTGATTTCCTGTTCTTTATGTGTACACTTAGAGATTGTGGTTAGGGCAGCTCTTAAGTACTCAGTGATAAACTAGACAGATCGAGGCCTTTGTGCCTTGCAGGAAGATGCAGGCTTTTGTGTCCTCTGGTCCCTCCCACCATTCTCCTTGGACACTCTCCAGGCTTTCCCACACTCGTTTTCAGGGTGAGGGATAAGGAATTGTGCTCCAGCAGTGACACCTGGGTGTGCTGCAGCAAGGTTCTCTAGAGGAGTTGAATGAGGGAGAGCTCTGCTGCTTGTCCAGGCTGGTGGTACAGGAGCCAGCTCCATTTGGAGGTGGCATGACAGCATGACCACTGTGCTGAATCTGAGATAACAAACCTTCAGTGAAGCCTGGGATCAGCATAACTCCAGTGGAGACATAAATTTGCACCTTTTTTTTTTACTGATTTTAATTTTGTGATGGAGGAGCTCACAAATTTCTCATTAGTTTGTGTGATTGCATCACTCTGGTTTGCTATCAAAAAATTTGAAGGCCCTTGTAGATGTCCAGGGCAATGTTATTATTATGCAATCAAATTTATTCTTTCCTAAAACTTGATTCCCAGTTAAGTTGACAAGCTAGGTTTCCAGAAGCCCATTTGAATTAGTATTAATTGCTTTAATCATTTAATTCCTTTTTTGATAGAAGTCTTTTCATGATTGTGTCTAAGAGAAGCAGAGGTTGAGAGATGCAGAGGCTGACAGGTTGTTAATTCCTGTCTTCCTGTTTCTTTTTTAAGTATCTTCATAATGTCAGCTTTCATCTATTTCTCTGGAAATTCCTATCTGCTAAGGCTTATAAAAAAATAATTATTGATGATCCAGATTGCTCCTTATCCTTCTGTGAGTTAATACTCCAGTGTAAAATATCTCTTTATTATTATATACTATATCACCTGCTTTTTCTCTAATGCACTATATGTATATTTATCAAGTATATCTCTTGCTGCTTATGATTTACTACTGACAACTCTACTGCTTTCATGTAGAAATGGGGAGATGTTATTGATGCAAGATCAAAATACCAAATCAATGGTGTCTTTTCTCAAAGTAACATTGAAAGTCAGTTTCTACCTTAGTGAGGCTACTAAATGCCCTTTCTACTTAATTTTTAGAGCTCCAGTTATTTCAGACAGTCCAAGCTCAAACACACTTTCAACTGCTACTGCCTCCTGAGAAGACTTGTAGTTCTGATTACTCTGGATTACTTCAGGCATTCCAGATATTTATTTTAGATGAGTTGAAGGCTCGTGGCTTATGCCACCTCCAGGTAATTTCAATTCCTTTTTCTCTGTTGCTGGTGGGGTGTGGTTTTTTGGTTTTTTGGTTTTTTTTTTTTTTGGTCGGTTGGGGACTTTCGGAATAAAAAAAAAAAAAAAGATGAGACACAAAGTAGAACTTTGTTTGAGGAGGTGGAAGAACAGAAAATGTCATGAATCTGTCAGGAGTGGCAGCATTCTCATATGAATGGCTTGGGAAAATAGGATGTTTAGTCTCATTGACCCTCATCAGCAGATCAGCTTAATTGTAGCTATGGAAGTCGTATCACACCAGTCCAATATTTATTAGAAATATGTTTTGATGGAAGAGAACATTTGACATTTAAAGTGAGTAAATGACCTGGTAAAATTATTTTCTTACTTCTGCTCCTGTATTTACAGGCCATTTCAAAAATGTTGCCTTTGAGCATAGCACAGTGCAAATGAATTCAAGAACTGGAAGGTTCACAGTTTGGCTAACCGTGGTTTCATTTAATTTTGAATTCCAGGTAAATGCGTTTGGAAACACGGGCTCGATTTCTCTCTGTGATGATTCCACTGTCTATGTCAAATGCCTGAGCGTGGACCGCCTGGGGGTGAATGTCACATGGAGGGCTCAGCTGGAAAACATCCCGGCAGCTTCTCTCCCTGACTTACATGATATTGGTAAGTTTTTTTCTCCTCTGAGATTTTTGTGAATTAAGCCTGCTTTGCTTTTAATTGTTTTGCTTCCCTGTGTCTGCTCTTAGGAGGCACTAACAAGTCAGTATAAATGCTCACTGTGGAAGAGTCTTTGTAACACTGTAGCTGTGTTTTTGAGCTTTTGGTGTTGAGGGATTTTTCTTCAGGCTGTGACTGCACAATGGAAAGGAGCTGTAATTGAAAGTTTCTTTCAGATAGGACTGCATCTCCCAGCTTCTTTAACTGAGATTGAAAATTACTTTATCGGGCATGAGCTGAACTGTCCCAGATGTTAATTTCCATTGGACAGGTCCTCAGTGGTGGAAAAGATTGTGTTCCCTATTGGGCTGGACTCAAAGAAAAACAATTCACACGTTGCTAAAGACATAACTTATTCCTTCCAAGTTTTTTTTTACTGTTCCTTTCTTTTTTCTCCTTCTCTTTTTCTATTTATTACATTATCTTTGACACTAAAGAATGACCCTTAGCTCAACAGTCCTAGAACAATTATGCAGAGACCACTGACTGGCAGATCTTTGCTGTGGTTTCCAAGCGAGTTAGGGATGGTGTAAGGAACGTCTTTCAAAGCAGTCAGTGTCTCCCTTTAAAATAAAAGACATAAAAAATATATCGCAAGTTCAAATACCCTCTGTGCCAGCTTTTCTCCAGTTCTACTGCTTTGCAATGGTGTTCCTAGCACTAAGTATAAATAACTGTGCCTGCACATGTCCTTCCTTCTTACTTTGGGACTTGGTGACATGTGGCCTACAGCAGTTTTTACCTGATCAGAACTGAGTTAAAAAGCCTTCAGGTCGCAGACAGAGGCTGCAGTGGTCGTGTGGTTCCTGGCTTTACTGTCTCTTTATGTATACATACATTCAGTTGCTTCAGATTATAAGGAAAATGTGAATATTCCAGCAGTTTGCAGAAGGTGGATCAAAGTATAAGTGTGTTTTGGTTTTACATTAATCTTTACTTTTGAAAGTATTCTGCTTTGAAGGGATTACTTCTTTTACCCTCTCCATACTACAATTTCCCCATAGTACTAAAATTGCTTTTCAGGGAGAAGAGGCAGTATCAGGGGAGTATATGGGGAGATCAGACAATGGCAAACCTGCTCTCTGTATCCTCTTGGCCCCATCAACTTCCATTGATTTCTAAGGCAGCTTTGGGCCATTCTGTTCAGGGTGTTGTCTGGTGTATTTACACTGAGCAAATTGGCTCTCTGATTTTAAAATCTACGTTACTAAAATGGCTTTGTTCTTTTCCTGGCTTCTTTACAGGTAAATGAGAAGTCTTGCTTTTATTTCTCCTGTGAAGTAGCTGAGAAAAGAAATTGCTAGCCAGAAGTGCAGTGTGCAGGTGTTCCCAATGGAGAGCTTCAAATCTAAATCACTCGTGAATACTTCATTACTTTTTTTCCCTCGCAGATATTTTCATGTATTAAATTCCAAGGCTGTGCAAATCCCTTCTTACACCATTTGGCTTTGTAACTTAGATCTCATCTCTAAAATACTGGGGAGCATTTGAAGCAATTTCTCTCTTTTCTGTTCAACAGGAAAAAACACTAATGAATAAACAAATGAGCTTTTGGTGATTGACTATGCAGTAAACAGTTCCCATCAGTGACACAGCACAGTTTTATCCATCTGCCATCCATTCAGCACAGGCAGGAGGGCAGGGCTGCATTGCCAGAGCTTTGTACCTCACTGTGAAATTTTCTCCTTGCACAACTGAAAACTACCCCTGGGCTACAGTGCAAAGTCAGGAAACTCTCCTCATCAGAAGGCAGCAGTACCCTCAGTTGTTTGCCTTGGACACATCAGTCACAAAATAATAATCTTTGTACAGGCTGTGAGCTGTAACATTCCTCACGCTCTCTTTATGTATAAATTCTCCTCCATGTGAAAATTCAGCATCCAAGGTCGTTATCGTACTTGCAAAGATCAAAATACTTAGTGTGCAGGACTTGCCGTTTGCTGGGTTACTGGGCTGCCCATCACCTGTATCTACAGGAGGCCCTTGTCTTGCAAATTTGAAGCAGTAAACCACATCAACATTGCCTTCAGTGCCATAAAGCCTGCAGGGATAAACAGAATGTGACAGCAAACCAAATCTGCTGGGAACATTGTCTCATAGTACTTCTGGTCCAGCCAAACTGGGGAATTCGCTCTTGATCTAGTGCTGAAGATTGTACTTGCACAAGTCATTTAAAGGGAAGGTGTCTGGACAGCTAAGAATATAGAGAGTAGGAAAGGTAGTTGCTGTTTTCCAGCTTTAAACACCAGCTTGAGCAATTGTGAAGAGCGTGTCTGTTGCATAGATGGATATGTTGAGTATGATAGGAGGTGGTACTGTACTGTTACAGATGCCAAACCAACAAAATTCTGAAAAAGAAGAAAATTATATCCATTGAAAAAACAGGAATAAGTTAATTCTGAATGTCAGATAATCCTGATTTTTATCTACGGAATTTTTGTACCTCAGAAATAAAATTTGGTTCTCTGATGTGTTAGTTTTTCATTATGCCATTTTTGTTGGGTTTTTTTTGCTGTTTCATCTTCTCTCTACATATACTGAGGATAAGACTTTAATCTGATAGACACTAGATTCTTCTAGTGTGCCATTTGCTAACATGCTTGTATTTTTGTACCTGCCTACGTTTTTAACTTAAACTTCATCCGTTTCTGTGGGGTTATCCATTCTGATATTGGGAGTCTCTTTCATGCTATTTTGTTGTATTTTTCCCTCTCTTTAGAAAATGCAATTGTTGGAGAAAATCTCATTGGAGCATTTATAAAAGAGATTGAGGATGGTGCTTTTCTGCTGCATTTGGACTCCAAGCAATTCGTAGCAGATTCTTTCGTTGATTTTCCCCGGGATGAAGAGTTTGATCTGTCTCCAAGTGTGCAGCTAGGATGTAGAAGCGGGTTTCGAAGAACTTCATCTCCTGGGAAAGCAGTCCCAAATTCACAAGGATGTGGTATGTCTGAGTTTAGCTTTCCCTTCTTTCATGTTGTTAGGAATCAGTATAAAACAGAAGTTAGAATATTGTCAGTGAATTTGTGTTTATGGTTAGTATGTGAAAGGTGTGAGGCACCCACGTGAATGAGAACTCTGAGGAGAGATGGGAATTAGTGCTGTGCTTACTGTTCGGTCCTTGCGTCGAACCAATGATTTGGAAATAGGCATCATGGCACTAACATAGTATAGGAGGTTTTGCAAACATTTTTGGGGATTTTTTAGATCTCTCTCTGGTATTAGAAGGTCTTTCTGTAATGTACGTGATTCTTCATAAGATTTCACATAGATTATGTAGCCAGTGCTTCGGATGATGATACATTACCTAGAATAGAAACCTAGATGCAGAAATGGAAAAAGTCCTGAGATTGTGACTTCCTGTGCCAAGTCCAGCCAGCCTGAATGGAAGCTTTCTCAGTGCTGGCCAACACCCAGACCCAATCGCAGTTCTGCCCTCTTTTCATCTTCTTTCCTTCTGTTTAGTCTGCTTCCCTGGAACAGGCTGCCTTTCTGCCAATATCCTGCATGGGAGCTGCCAAATTTACCTTTCTGCAGGATCCCTGCTCCTGCAGTGCAGCCCTCATTGTTCTCATTGGCCCAGTTAGCCACAGTGAGTCTGTCGTACTTACTTACAGTTTGGGATGTGTTCACTATGTCTAGCTTTTTTTTTTCTTTTTTTTTCTTTTTTTTTTTTTTTTTCTGGGGAACAGAGGTGGCAGGTACCACTTCTTGGTATAAGATCAACAGTAGTGGGTATTGGATAAGTTTTCCGATACGGGGAAATATTTTCCAATGGGAAAACTTCAACACTTTGCAGCTTAAGTTAGAGACCCTAGGAGCAAATCAAAATACATGAAAATGGCTTAGCTCCCTGCTTGGTAAGGTGGTTCTCTTTAGGTTAGGAGAACTTCCTAATGCCTGGGCAGGGGCTTCAGAATAATCAAGTGATGAATAATTTCTGAACTGCTGCAGTTTCCAGCTTGGACCTTTAAAGGTGCAAGGGTAAACTGAATGCAGTTTCAGTTCATCTCCAGAGTCTGAAACACTTCAGATTTTGGTTATTTAAATACACCGTGCAGAAAAAAGATTAATTCCTCCTGAGAATCCAGAGTCTGTAACAACTTGCAGTTGCTTGAGAAGATGTACTGTTGTACTGATTAAAGGTATCATCATTTATTAGGTAGAGTCCATCACTTAGAGCAGAAGAACTTACAAAGAATTGAATCCTTCTGCCAAATATTTCCTGCCTGAGATAAACACCTCTAGGAAACAGTGAATTAGTTTGCTTTGTGAGTTAGTTCATACATACATGAAGCAGCTAGCTGTAGAAAAAGGCACTCAGTAAAGCAGGCTTGTCATGGAGATTTGGAAAGGAGACAGTTTCTGCTCTGTCTTTTGACAGAGATTTCAGATTCTAAGATGTCATGGGTGACATGCTGCTGGGCACTAGGTTATGTAGTAGGAGTGTGCATTTTTTTCTAAACAGAGAATTTAGGAATTCTGTTTCTGGGTCCTCTAAGGTTACATATATATATATTGTTTTCTTTTGCATTATGGATATATTCTGGCCATTTATTTTTCTGGGTCTGTTTCTCTACTAAGAATAGGGGCTAGTAGTAAGAAGTATCACCTGTGATTATAGAAATCAAAGTTTGTGTGATGGTGATAGAGATTCTTTCTTTATTTTCTTCCCTTTACTCTTCTGCCTTGTTGTTGAAGTACAAATTGTCTTTTCAGATCCTGATCATCTTGATTTGTTTGTTTTTATTTCACTGTAAGTGACATTTCCCCTTGCTTCAGGAAGTGTCAACAACTCTTAGTACTGGCAGCTTTCTGGTATTCTCAATAAATGTAACATTTTAATTTAGGAGTCCACAGATTGCATGAACCTGTCTCTTCATCTCTTATGTATTTACACTCATCTGTTTCTTCAGGTTTGCATCCATTGTAGCTTTGTTTCATGTTTTTCTGTCCATAAAATGGGAAACATTTTTCGTGTGTTACTTTTTCTTAGGTGACATTTATCCTTTGTTTCGGTCTTAGACTGAGTTACTTTACCCTACAGGTATTTATGAATAGAACTCCTTAAGAGTATGAGGTAACAGTTTTATTTTAGCTGAATTTTGAAGGGACAAAAGACACTTTCTTTGCTAAACTGTGAGTTGAAAAGAACAGAGATAGAAACAGTCCAGGAGGCAACTCAGCCCTTCTCCCCCCATTTATTCCAGGAGAAAGCCTGAAGCCTGCTTGTGAGCTATCTTTGCTTTATTATATATTTTTATCCTGGTTCTTTTTATTTTCTAGAATGCTCAATAATACTATCAGAATTGCTTCGAACAGAGCATAACCCAAATCACATAAAGTGCTAGATTTATAACTGACCTGGTCTTCCTTTGTAATAATCTGGATGAAGAATCTGATGTCCCAAAGTTTTCCACTGTCTCTGGAGGGAGGAAAAAGCAGTGCAAACATTGCATAATGACAGTCTTTTTAAGCACAAAGAAGTGCAATATGATGGTTTTTCTCACTTCTAGAATCAAACTTAGCCTCTACATGATTGCATCAGGTGTATCCTAGAGCTGAAATAATACCTACTTTCGAGAGTTATAGCATCTAAAAAAGATGCATCTCTGCACCAACATTTTTTGCTGTTCTTTGTGCCCTTTTATTATCTAATGTCCGAGACAAAAGGCAATTTTGCTTGCTTAAAGTGGGATTGGAGACACAGATGTTACTTTCACGTCGTGACTATAACTACAAAAAAAGGAGGATGCTTTGAAAAGCTTAATTTTTTGCTTTTTAAACTTTAAGTGCTTAAGTAATCTCCTTCATACTTTGCATTTTGTCTTCAATTTAGACATGGATTACTCATTTTAATTTCTACTGTTGTTCATTGGCAATGAGTATGATCCTTTTTGCATGTGTTGGAAAATGTCTTTAAAATGTATCAGACACTCTTGTGTATTAAATAATATGCATGAGAAAGGAGAATTCTGTCTGATCCAGGATTTTTTGGTCTATAATTGATTTTAGAGATGTGTTACACCTAGAGCAATTGCCTTGATACATACTTGGGAGGAAAATTTCAGTCTTACAATTGTCTCATCCTAGATTTTCCCATTGGACCATTTAGAGCAGTTGAAGGAAGATATGAACATTTTTATACTAGCTGTCTTTTTAATCTATTATAATTTAGGTGTTCCTATAAGTTAAATTAATTTATATTCCAGTGTGTTGGCCAGAGCAGCAATTCATCATATGGGTTGTAGTGGAGATGGCAAATTTTCCATTACTGTTTCTCTCTCATGCAAGTTTAAACTTCTGTCAAGACATAGGGCAGAAACAGAAATGGAGTTTTGCACCTTGTCAGATTCCCAAAATATACATTTGATAGTGTTTTGAAGGAAATCTACATCTGGAAAACAGCTGTGAAATAACAAGTAAAGGTATTGTCCCGCGAATGTGTCTGTGACTTTTCTGCTTTAATGTTCAAGTGAATGATTTGGAGGGAAAGACAGGATTTCATGAACCTCCCAGAAGACAAAGAATTTTCTTTATAATATACAACAGGTCAGCTGGAAATATTATTCGTGATTTGTTCTGAAAATGATATATATACACACTAAGAATATCTTTTTTGTTTTGTGTTTGGGTTGTCATGTGCACAACTAATAACTTTTAATCCAGCCATTAGTGTTTAGTTTGGAAACGCTTACCAAAAATTTCATTACCAGGAATTCTGAATGAAAGTGTTACCATATGGTGGGTTTCTGTATGATGGTTTTGGAGTTTGTGCTCCTAGGAGCCTTCATGTTTCTGTCTGTAGTGTTAGAAGTCACTCTGTTTGTAGCTTGTGTTCCTTTGTTTTCTTTCGCAACCTACCCACAAAGTGCATTATCTGATTACAAATGGATTTGACAAATGGAAATCAGGCCTGGACTTGACATTTCCAGGCAGCTTGATGTGCACTAATTCAAGAACATTTTTAGGGTGATCTGAGAAAAAAAGACCACTGTCTATATGCCAGTAATTGGTGAGTTTAATTAACATTTAAGGAGTCTTTGCCTCTGTTATCCCACTTAGAAAAACATATATTAAGAGCTTGAAGCCTATGTAAAGTGTACCAGCATGAGATATACACACATACACACAGATAGATATATATATGCACACACCCACACATATGTGTTCAAATGCCTGGACTGCTTGGATTCCAAAAGAGTAATAAGATGGTTGTTCTCTTTGCAGTTGTTTGTCCTCCGGGCAGTCATTTCCAGAATGATGAATGCATTCCTTGCCCTCTTGGCTACTATCAGCATCAGACAGGACGTTCCTCCTGTATCAAGTGTCCTGTGGGCAAAACTACCAACTCCTATGGGGCATTCAGCGCTGATCACTGTATGTTGAACTCACTTTTTTTCCCTTTATCCTTTGTATTCTGGCTTCAAATAACTAAAGGATTTTTTTTTCATCTGTAAATAAAAAGAAAACAACCAACCTTCCTCTGGGGTTTTTTGGATAGACTGCATATATTCAAAGACGTTTTACAAAGGTAGAACAAACTGTCTGGTGTTTTGGCCAACAATGCATGAGAAATGAGTGGTCAGCCTCGTCCAGGATGTTGTGGTTCTCTAGGATGTGCTCATTGTCTTCAGAAATGATATCTGGGTATCCAGTATCAGTGAGAAACTTCTTACATAGTTTGTTTATTGGCACTTCCATGAACTCTAGATTTATGTTGTCTGAAATGCAAGAGGTTTCCTCTGAACATCAGGAAACACTTTTTTACTGTGAGGGTGACCGAGCACTGGCACAGGTTGCCCAGGGAAATTGTGCAGTCTCCAGCCTTGGAGATATTCAATAGCCATCTGGATATGCTTGAGCAGGGGGGTTGGACCAGAGACATTCCAAATATCCCTTCCAACCAGAACCGGTCTGTGATTGTGTGAACCTGTCATCATCAGAACATGTCTTATCCCCTTCTTACAGATCATGTTCCAACTGCTGCCCAGTTACATGGGCTCCTGGATTCTTTTGTTGCTTTCCATCAAAGACACCTTCTGGAAGTGTCATTACAAGGCTGGGTGTTTGTACTGGTTGCTCACTAGGTTTTCTATTTTCTGAAAGCAATAAAGAGTAACTACTGGATATTATTTTAATGAATAAATACCAGTCATGGCTTAGAAATCTGTATTCTGTGAAACCCAGTGACAGCATTATCAAAATACCTTTTTTTATTTTCTTGTTTACTTCTAACAGGTATCACTTACTGTCAAAGCAATGAGCAGGGGCTGCAGTGTGATGAAGATGGCCAGTATGGACCTTCTCAGCAAGACCCTGACACTAAGAAATCCTTCTGCATCAGTAGCTTTGGAACAGCTTTGGACTGGACTGAAACAGATGATCTCCTTACAGACTACCAGTGCCTAGGTAAGTGTCAGAAAAATATTTTGCATATGTTTTGAGCCCACATAAGTAAATCCTTCTTTTGAAGAGACTCATCACTCCACACCTTATGGGGATTCACTTTCCCATAGTTGTTGCCTCTGCCTTAAACCGCATTCCTCCTTAATATTGCATTTCTTGACTGCCTTGGAGAAGTCATTTCCTGTAAGGGAGGAGAGAGAAGCAGGTTTCTTGCACTCCCAGATGGCTGACAGCTTTTGATGTATGCTGATCTCCTGCTCTCTGCTTGGAAACCCAAAAGAATAACGAAGGGGCTGATGGGAAAGAAGCAGAATGATGAATTTCTTTGTAAAATTATCACTCATCAGCGTGTTCATGTGAAGTAGACTGTGTTTGGCAATGACCTCATGGCCACAGCATAACGTCATCCTCTGGGCTCCTGCCATACAGTATCTGACTTGGTGAACATACCCTTACAAGCTGGGGGGACTTACTTCAGCTTGAACACAGTTGTGAAATGCCAGTTCTCAAGGATGAATAATTTGAAAAAAAAGTCATCCATCAAACAGTCCCCAAACTGCCTGCAGTAAGGTCTAATTATGCTTCTCAGCCCCAAAGCTTTTCCCTTGCCCCAAAATAGTTTTCCAAACGTGTTTATTATTCATAACGTGGTTGGTATCAAATCTAATGGATTATGCAGTTTAGAAACTGATGCCGTAGTATGCTCTGAATTAGACAATGTCTTATGACAAGTGTGATCACTGGAAGGAGTGTGAAATTAAAGCCTTTGATTGTGAAAAGGCTGCAAAACTGTCTTCAGTTGAAATAGGTATTTTTTTTCTCTGAGCATAGTCAGGGACTGATCGTAGTTGTGAACATGAGGTGTTAGTCTCAGTTGCTCTCAGTCATGGTTTCTCTGGTCTCTGCTTAATTCTACTGTTAGTGCTTGCGTTGAGCCCTCCTGCATGACCATTTCTGACTGTCCAGGAAGGAGCACTTGTAGATACCTGTGCTTGTTTCTGTGGATCATGCTAGAAGATTTCACTACAAATAAATATAAATATTGACAGTTCAGGATTTAAAAAAACCAACAACGAACACCCAAGAAGTCTGGGGGTTTTTTTTAATAATTTAAAAGCTGATTTAATTTCATTTTTTTTTTTTAAAGATCGTGTTGCATTTCCAGAAAGCATTATATCAAGTGAAACCAATTATCTCTATTTTTCTTTTTCCCCCTGCCCCTTCTGTTTCCCTTAACTGAATTCAGCATACAACAAGACAGCAGGGTCTGAAGAGCGATCTTGCTTTGACAGGAAGCTGGCGATCGGGTAGGGTCAATAAATAACCTAACTGCTCTTTGTTATTGAGACTGCAATGGGAGTAAGAATGAATGCAGAGTAATTAGCTGTTACAACCCATGCTCACTCTTATTGTTGTCTCTCTTGTTATATTTTAAGACATGCTCAACTTTTATTGCAATAACAGGGCTGGGTTCTAGAGCTTTACTTTCCAGTAACATGAGATGAAAAACAATTTCTGCTACAGACTAAACCTGTGAAATGGCTGAGTAGCTATACTACTGTTGAGAAGAGGGCAATGTGAACTAACAAGTTAATGAAAATATGAGCTGGTAGGATATTTTTAATTTTTTTGTTTTTTTACAAAGTAGCTTTGTGAATGCAATTTTTTTACCTTTCGTTATATTAAAAAGCAAAATTCAAGAATTAAAAAGGGCAGCTTTTCTTTTAGTTTTACAGTGTTTTTTCAGTTTTTCAGTTTAATGTTTCATGACACTTTCTCTCTCTTCTCTATTTTTCTCCCATATTATTGCAGAGAAAATGGAGGAGTGGGATGAAGCCAGAATTAGGAAAAAAAAAAAAATCATAAGAAAAGTAAAACATTTAAAAATGTCATTCTTTATTTTGAATTTTGCATTAGAAATGAGAGCAGTAAACATGTGCAAACAGCATAAAACCAGTTTCTTTTCAGTTTTAAGAAAATATGTGGATTCTGTTTTTAACTAGGCATCACTGGAAGTTGCAGATGTAGAAGGAATTGAGTTTAGTGCAGTATTGAGTTAATGCTTATATTTTGGTGTCCGGTATTTCTAGGAAGGAAAAAACTTCCACCTCTGTTTACACCATCATTCAGACGAGCTGGAGTGGAAGGATTTTTTTTTGTGTTAAGTGTCTGGCTAGCCCTCCTGTTTTTTTCTGAGCAGAAATGATGGTTTTATCAAAAGCATCTGCTGACTCAGCCCTGACAACAGCGGACATTTGCTTCTGATTTAGTCCTGACTGTTTTGCTGTGAGAGTACAAATGTTTGTTTTAAAAACTTATCCCTGATTTTTATTTTGTGGTTTATCCGGGCGGTGCAGGGAGAGTGGCCTGGGATCCTCTTCCTGGATCTCTGCACCAATGTGCCCAGGGCCGAGACAGGAGGGCTTGAGCCTCCAGCTCTTCCACATGCAGCCATCTGCCGTGGGCTGAGATCAGACAGGGGCTCCGGCTTCTTAGTTCCTGTAGCTCTAGGCCAGGCATTGGCTGCAATGAGCCAGAGTTTTGCACTTGTTTGAGGCATTTAGAGAACAAGTCTGATCAACATAGGGGTGATACCAAGTTACCATCTTCTTCCCTTCTTCTTAATGTGCTGTGTTCACTGAGGTATATTAGCATATCAACTGGTGGACACACTGTACCAAAACCCCTTTGTTGCTACTACTTAGTAGCAACCTGAGCAGGGTGGTGGTGGTGTCGCTGTGTGTCCCTTCACCAGAGTGTAATCTTCAGGGCACAGCCAAGGCCAAATCTTCTGGAACTTAAATTGGATTCTTTGCCCCATTTAGTGACCTTTGGGGTTTGCGTCTCCAGACCCCATGAGCTTTTTCCGGTATGTGAACATGCTTGTCAAACATCCTTACACTCAGGTGCAGTGGGTCCAACTCTGAGAGAGCCGATAAAAGGGTTTGGTAAGTGAAGTGACAGTCTGGACTTAAAGGTTGAATGAAGGAGTGAAAAAGAAGCATGGAGGACACACTGCCATGGATGGACCCCTGAGCCTGAAGTGAGTGGAGATCAGGCTGTTGTGCTCCTGCAAACGAGTGATAAGGCTCTTAGCTTTCCTTTCTAGCCAAGTTCTGTTGGAGCTGGCTCTTGTTTCAGTGGCTGCTTTGCAGAAATTTATTTCCCCCATTGACTCGATAGTTGGTTCTGTGCCATGGACAAGGAATGGGAGATGACCAGTCTGATGCTGGAAGAGAAGTCTCACTTGAATATAAACTTCCAGCCCACTTCTGGCTAACTGTTTTTAAAAGATCTTGTGACACTTTTTTTTTTTTTTTTTTTTTTTTTTCTAATGTATAAATTACTTCCC